AACATTGATTCTCTTCCAAGAACAACTTTTCGATTTACAAAATAAACTTGAAAGTTTACAAGGATAACAAGGATAATGATATCTACATTCTTTAGCATGAACTTTTTTTATGTATCGATCAACATCATCAGTGGAAGCAGTAAATAAACAATCTTTAAAAATCACAGGTCTTTTTAATGATTCTTTTAAATTGAACAAATCACTTAGAATTCCATTGTTAAACGAAAAAGATTCTACAAGAATATAGTCGTTTGGACGTCTACGTTCTGAATGGCTTACTTTTATATTTAATAAAAAGTCCATATTCGCCAAAGAAACGAATATAATTAGGATACAAAAATTCAATCCATGAATAATGGAATTAATTTGAAAACCATAAAATGCTTTACCATTTTCCTTGATAATCGTATTATCACTATTATTATCCGAATAGATATCTATTTCAATATATGAACGTTTAAAATAAAAATAGCCAATTATCGTATGACCTATTGGTGATATTGCTAGAGATAATCCTAATATTAAATCTTGAGTTTTAGCATTCGCCGGTAGAGGAAAGAGGCCTGATATAAGGAACGTTGAAGCGAAAACTATAAATAGCTTGTCCATGTGATCTGCTTTCAAACGTTGATAGAGAAGACATGATATAAGGAGATAAAGAAACAAAAGAAACATACCTTTTTTCTCTGGTATTAAGTATTCTAATGATTTACTCGAATCATTTGTATAATTATTTGTTTGATTTAGGGAAAATGAAGAGTTATTTTCAATTTTTAAAATAATTAATCCATTAGAAATATATACAAATGAAATGAAAAGTATACTTGTATGGGCAGTAGCCATAATCATTAAAAATCCAATACCTAACGGTTCTTTGAAGCATTTCCTCATTAGTATTCAATTTATATATTCCTTTTCTTATTCAATTAATTATAAGTCAATTATTAAATTCCTCTTTTTTCCCCAAAAAATACGGTAAATGTTGAGTAAATATCTTGTAAATTTCCCTAGAAAATAATGAATCTCCTAAGCCAAATGTTTATTGAGTTGTTTTGATTCTATAGCAACATGCAGATATTTTATTCGTTTTCCTATAAAAATGAATGCGTCCTATTCAATGCAAATTGCGACACAGTGGAACTTTTGTTGAAATTATTTGCTTTGTATTTCAAATTGAAAATATTCCATATATAGTAAGAATTAAATGATTAATGTATTATTTAGTTTTGAATACCAAGTTTAGAGAGCAAAAAATATTTCAACATCAACGGGGACAGCCGGGATTCGAACCCGGGACCTCTCGTAATTTCGAATTTGCTTATATGACTAAACCCGAAACGAGAATCATACCCCTAGACCACTGTCCCTTTCGTTATCTAATTAGTCTATATTTTAATCGATATTACCATTCTTCATAAGAATAGAAAGAGAGTGAGATGAAGAAGAAGGGAAAGAGAAGGAGAAGGAGGAGGAAAAAAAGCAATTACTTCAATATAATAATAAATATTCAAAAAGCTGTCAAACGTTTCATTCCACTCTTTCACTCTTTTTAACTTATCAATAAGAATTGATAAAGCAATACCATAAAAAAAAAATTAGTAACATCTGGCAAAGAAAGAATAAATTCTATTTTTTACAGCAGCAATTTAATAATAAACTGGTTACCTAGTTATTTCTTTCTTTTTTTGTTTTTGTATTGTAAACCCAGAATGGACAAAAAATTCCATTCTACTATTTTTTTAATGATCAAAAAAAGTTATTTTTTTTATAAATATGGCGCTGTTTTTATTAATAGAAAGTGTTTATTGGACTACATTGAAATTGAGAGAGAGAGAGAGAGAGAGGGAGAGTAAAGTGAAACTTAAAATAAAATAACAGAATAAAAACACACTATGAATACTCTTTAACTGAATAATCTCTATTATCATCTTCATTGCTTCGCATCTAATTCTAAAAATAACAATAACAAAAAGAAACACATACACCCACAAAACAACCTTTGCTTTTATAAAATGTACAAATAGACAGGTTGAAAAAATTAAGTGTTACATGAATATTAATCTACATGTTTATTTACGTAAATATTTATTGGTTATTAAGTTAATCTTTGTAGAATATAGCTTTTAAATAAAAGATAAAAGGGAAAATTTAAAGATATAGAACGGTTAATTATTTATTTTTCTCCGTTAGGAATCAGTTAAAATATCGAATTACATAAGATTTATACAAACTAAGTAGAAGGTCAAAGTGTAAGAATAAAACGTAATTTAACAATTTACAGTATAAAACTTGTGATAAAGTATTGGAGACTAGAGTTACTCTTTAAGGTAAGATATATAACAACTACCAAGTTAACCATCCTTCCTTTTCTTTATATTTAATTTCTATTGATTTCTTTTTTAGATGATGAAAGTAAATAACAAGAATCTTTATATAACCTTAATAGCAAGTATAAACATTGGTTGGGCGATATTCCTTATTCTATCATTTACATCAATATTTACTAATGTTTTAATCATAAATTATAAGAATAATAGCGAAACGTCTATTGAAAAGGAAATATCTCATTCAAACCGTAAATTAATTTTCATAAAGATTGTATTACTATAAATGAAACAATTAATAATATTCTTTCTTGTTTTTATCAGGTGATAAGAGGATTTTACTTTATTATAATATAAGCTTCTCAATTGGAATTATATTAATATGCATTTTTTCACTATTTTCATATAAATTAACTAATCTAATTAGTTTTATGCTAGCTGGCATACTTCATTGTTTAAATTGTGTATTTATCTGTCATAGACGTTCTCTGACTTTAAAACGTTATATTAATTTAGAACAATTTGAATGGAACTGGAATTGCAGTTATTATATTCTCTTAGTAGAATCGTTTTTCCTATTTTTGATGGGTATTGTCTATTTTAAGATAAACTATCATTTGTTTAAAGAAACTAATAGAACTTATGAAATGGAAGGAATTCCCATTTCTAATCTTCGCAGACCTAGCACGATAGCCGATAGTATCATAATCCTAAATTACTCTATTGACCGAAAGACAATCACAACAACAACTATAGATATATGCGATCTTTTGCATTTTTCTTTTAAAGAAAATGGTAATTATATATTCAATACTAATTATGAAGATAGCGAAACGTTACTTCATATTCCTAAGATGCATGCTAAGGAGTGCAGGTACCATTATCCATATTATCCAATTTTAATACCAAAGAATAAAAAGATGGATTGTAATTGGAAAAAGTTAAGAATTAGAGTAAATGCTTTAAAACTCGATTTCTCCAGAAGAATATTATTCAATATGATCATTTTATGCAAATTCAATATTCATATTTTTACAATCTTTCACTTTCCTTCAAATTACTTGAATTTGCATCATGTTATACGAAAATCAATTGGAAGATCCACAGTGGATTATGAAAAGATCAAGGTTGAAATTGCAGGAAGCTTAATTCTTAGAGAAGATGGACTTTCACTTATCAATCTATTAAATGAAAATTGTTATGACATAAACCTAGTTGAAGTGGTAACTAGCCGACTTTTCAAACAATGGCCTCCTCCTCTTTGGTTTTATTGCTTAATTAAAAATAGGCAAATGATAAGACAAGGATTTCCAAAATCCTTAGGAGAACCTTGTAGCGACTATTATTTATCAATTATCTGTGACCCTCTTCGTTCAGACTCTCCTTTAGATATTTTCTCATTACTTAATCTATCAGAAAGAAGCATTTGCATAATAAAGAATCATCGAATCGGAATATTTGAAAATCTTAACTGTCTAGTTGATTACAAATAAATTTCATTCCTAATGTTGAAATAATATTGAAAAGGAAAACAATAAATCAATCTTATCAATAAGTGACTTTAGAATGGTCAAGAAAAAAGATAAAGAAAGAGAGAGAGAGACACAGAGACAGAGAAACTGAATGCATATGTAACAAGTTTATTCAGTATCGTTTTCGTATTATCTAAGAAGCATGCATTATATATTTCTTTAGCCTACATTTTATAATGTGATTTATAGGCTTAAACACATCGGAACGAAAATAATACTTTGAAGATAGGCCACACCTATTTGAACAATACAATTAAATATAAAAAGCATGTGTCGAGCACCCCAATCCCAACCTAGAATCTCATTCTCGAGAATCTTCAATGTTCGAAAGCAATCTCTATAGTTTAATATTCCTAAACTAACATATGCTATCGGTGTAGTCAATGCTAAAAGTACAAGAATAGCGGAAGAAATACAAATATAACCTTTATCTTTAAATAAGACTTTCAATCCCATAACTATACCAAATACAGGCATGTAAGTAACAATCATCATCAATGACGTTTTATCATCTTGTAAAAGAAAGAAAAAAGAAGTAAATTTAAAGAAAACAACCGAAATATGAAGTTCCTTACCATTATTTGGCAATTTTAAATGTTGAACTTTTAGTGTATTATTCGATGCTAATCGAACTAAAATATAACTTTTATCTATAAAGAACATTTCTAAAAATGGCATTATACTTGTTATTAGAACAGTAATAACAATAATTAATCGAATCAAACATTTCTGATCCTTTAGATCTCCTCTAATATTATATTTAGATATGTCCATCGTCGTCGCATAAAGATTTAAAAAGAACTTTACTTTTTCCTTCAATGGAAGATAATTTCTAATTTTAATTTAGAATAGACAATAAAATCTAATTACTTTCTTTATTTTATAGAACATTAAGACTATTAACGGATGTAGCCGTTGTCAATACACTATTCCCTCTAATTTATTTAATAAATAATTACTTTGACAAAAGGATACGCCGAAAATCTGATGAACGATAGATAACTAATATATGAAATATATGTATAATAAATAAACTATACATAATACAAATTTATTAATATTAATTGTAAAATATAAACATTCTTTCTCACTTTATCTATCTAAAAATTAGTTAGATTATTAATAATAATACTATAAATCAATGATATTTTCCTGCCAAACAAACGTAAATACAAACAATAAAGGATACTGTTTAATAGAAAAATAAATGCAATGGTTAGACTTTCCTTCTTTTTCAATAAAATATGAAAAAAGAGTTCAAGATAAGTTGAGCAGAAGTTTTTTGTTTCTTTTTTGTTTAAGTATTAACAACTAGAGCTAGAATTTAAGGGTAACTGAACGAAAAGTGTTTGTTTTTCGGATTCAAGTTCATTTAAGTCTTCTAATAGCCCAAATTTAGATTGTTGAGATAGCCAATAATCCTTATAAGATAAGTTTAATACTTTATATATATCTTGAATATGAGTATTCTCAGCAGGATTTAATACGAAATCTTTATACATTAACGCATTTTCTGATACATTCCATAGGAAATTACTATATCTATTACGGATCATTAATCTCACCTTTTGAAGGCAGAAAAACCACAAAGGTGGTGGAGAATTCGACAATAGTGTTTTGTTTATAAACATATGTAAGGCATGCCTCTCAGGACTATCATTCGCATACATTCGCAAACATCTGATAAAAGAAAATCCATCTTCTCTTAGCATCAATACCTCAGTAATTGGCTCGTAATAGCACAAGAAAGACCTTGAAAAGTTAATATAATCAAGAAAACATTGAGATGGTTTAAAATGGAATGTTGTAAAGAAATGAATATCCACTTTATTTAATAATCCAAACTGTAGAATCATATTTTTGAAAGTTTCTCTCGTTTCCCATCCAAATGTTTTTATCCTTATTCTTAACTCAGACCATGAACAATTACGATTACGGCAACAGGGAAGCAGAAGAGGATAGAATGGAAAATGATATCGACAACGCTGTCGATGTGTGTTCCTAAGATAGTCTTCAGTTTCGTTATCTTGTTCACAAGAGTTGTAGATAACTGGTGGACATTTACTCTCCAGATAGGCTTCAATATTTTCACTTAGAACTACACGAACTGATTTTGAATTTTCATTGTATGACAGCCGACATATTTCTATAATACCAGCATATCGATAAGGTTCTCCGTTGAGTCCATGTTTGTGCCTCCATTCCACAGATAGCAGACAATGTAGGAAGAATAATCCTAAAGAAAATAGCATTAAAATCGAAGCATATTGCAGGAGGCAATTCGCAATAAACAGATAATATTTAGCATCCCAGCTCCATTCGATTGTGCCGTTGTAAGCAGAATTTAAAACGTCTACAGTATTTAAACAATCCGTATACGTTAGAACACCCAATGTTGTATAGGAAACAGTGACAGCAATGCCTAATATGGCTAGAATACTTCCGGATATGGTTACATATTTATAGTCACCAAATCCAACTCTAACTGCTATTAGTAGAATAAATACAGGAATAAATGTTATTAGAGTCATTATAGTTGTCTTCAAGGCTATAAAAAGAAGAAAGAAATTTTATTATCAATTAGGATAGTAACGATTATTTAAAACATTTAAATCTTCATACCGTTTTGAGGTAAATTCAATAGAGCACCGTAACTGGAACTGTGCGGTAGTTTCACAATTATAAATCCTCTTGATAGGCAAAATAATTCAGGAATAGGCATCAACGCTGTTACTATTATAACCATTGTAGTAACAACAAACGTTATGCTTCTCCTTTCTTTAAGGAAGCTGACTAGTTCCCTAGCGTATTCCATAGTCTATATTTTCACCAGTAAATTTAATAAGCAAAGCCAATGAATTAGCTTATTTTTTTTCATTTATAAATAAAGAGAAGAAACTCAACAAATCAGTTTGCAATTTTAAAGGTCAAGGTCTTTTGGGAAAAGAGTGGTTCTCGGGAGAAAGTATCTATCCTTTATAATCGTTATACAGATAAGAGGAAATACTTTTCCAGTTTGTTAAACAATAACAAGCTAAAACGTTGACATATTTTTTTTACATGAGAGGTAATAACTCTGTTATAGAATTAATAAAGAAATGAATGCCATTAGTCTCATTAAGTGTAATTTATTTTCTTTCCTTGTTAGGAGAGAGATTAAGAATGAAGACAAACTGGAAAATCTACTTGTATATATTTACAGTATATGGTGGTATGTAAAAAAGTCCTAAGGAAAAAAATATACCCTCTATATCTTCTTTACTGGAATTTTCTTACTCTATCAACTAACTGATGTTTGGTTTATAATCCTATTAGTTTATAAGACTTTATTAAATCTTCTAATACTAGTATTCTTATCGATTCCAGTAAGAATTTAATCGAATATTTAACCTAGTTAAACTGGTTTTCATAGTCAAAAACTCACTCATAGATTTTTCAGTATTTCATCGTCCAAAAGGTCGTTTACCTTTTAAGTATTATATTAGATGTATATCAATTGTTTATACTCTATATTTTTCATGATTTATCAAGTATACTACTGTTTTAAATAAATTTAAATATAGTAAAAGGTAAAACGTAGTATAAAAACTTAGATAGGATAGTTTTATCAATGAATTGAATACGCTTATAAAAAGATTTATTAATACTATTAATAGTCACTTGAAGTCAAATAGAGATGTTTTGATTTACATAGCTAAACTTTCAAAATATTATATATAATACCTGGATTATTGATTAAAATGGATAAAACTTGTAAAAATAGATTTATGAATTGAAAATTAATTTTACATTTAATACAAACACGTTTTATTGTACTAGATTGTTACATTTTTCGTTAATCAATTAATTTTTGAATTAATTAGAAGATGAATTATTAGAAAACACAGCTACGAATACACAGTATTTTCTTTTTTGTTTTTTCTTTTGTTTTTGTCTATTTAGTCTTCATAATCTTTGGTTTTTACATTTATTTTCCCCTAATTTCATTAGGAATAATAACAATATTGAACTCTACAATAAGGTTTGTTTATATTTTGTTATCATATATTTCAAAAGGAACTATTGTAAAACTATTAATACAGTATCTAGTCAGTAATGGAAAATATACTTGAATGAATCATTTATAAGACTAGCATATTTTAAAACGCTTATACATTGTTTTCCAATTAAAATCTATAAAACGAATAACAACTAAATATTACATTGTTTAATGATGTCTTTGTCTAATTCTAGTATACAAGTATATGATATTTTTTGTACATTCTAATTAAACCTTAAGTAATTGTATCTTCTCACAGTTTTCTACTTCTGTTTGAAAATTGCACTGAAAACGTTTAATCTCTTCATAAATACCGGTAGGTTTAGTTCTCCATAAATTATCGTTCTTTAGTCTTAAAACAGCACCAATATCTTTGAATTGCGTATTCTCTATAGGATTCATAACAAATTTTGCAGTTTGTAGAGGCATACTTTCCAAAAGTCTTAAATGTCCACTCTTCACTGTTTTACGAAGTTTCAACAAAGAAAGATAAAGCAGAGGTGGAGGCCAACTCCTGAAAATTCGCTTGACTATTAAGTCTAAAGCCATATCTTTCTGTTTCCGGTCTTCAAGTCTGTTGACAAATTTTCTAACTAACGACAAACCATCCTCACTGACTATTAAACTTTCTATTAAAAATTCATAAGTATCCAAGAAAAGGCCATTAAAATTTTTGTTTTCTCTTAAAATATCAAGTAAACATGTTTTCTCTTTGTCGATATTATCGTTGAACAAGCTCAAACAGTGGATATTATAAAGACTATTTAATTCAGCAATATCTCTAATGAAAATATGATTTAACTGACTTCTATTCGCATATAAATTTTCTATAAACTTCAAATTTATTGTAATTATAAATTTTCTATCTTTAGAAAGCCGTTTTAAAGATTTCCACCTAAAAGCAATGTTATAATGAGATGATAATATGCTCAAAAGAGCTTTTTTGTTCGAATATCTGGTATAAAAGACATCTTCTCTTAAACTATCTTCAATAGTTTGTATTTCACAGAATTTCAATTTACTCGTTAATCCATCATGAGAGTAGCTAAAACTTGAAAATAACTTCTCCGAATGACAATTTTGGAAGGTATAAGTATTAAATTTCTTATCAATATAGTTAACCATCATTATCAGTGCGATACTTGCTAAATCGATGAGTCTAGATCCAGACAATTTGTAAATTTTGTTACGATGAGTAATAATAATATCTTTGTCATCTTTGAAATTGAAGATTGAATTGTAAGTAATTACAATCACTAACCAATGAAGGACTTCAAAGATGGCAAACAAAATAAATATAATTCGTTTCTTTATTCCGTAAGGAGAACATGATAAGAGGACTATACAGATTTTTAAAGTTATTGATACTGATCCAATAATAATTCGTGAGTTTCCTATACATGGAATAATTTGTTTTTAATATTCTGTTTAGAAATTTAATACTTTCAATACTTACTCTCATGTTGAAATTCTCTCATTTTGAACAATCCTGTATCATTATTTATATAATTTTCATTTGCAAATCCATTATAAATTATATTGCATTCCAAGATTATACTAAATGTCATTAGTATAAAAATGACATATGCTGTTAATTTAGAACAAATGATAACGAACTTTTCTGGCATTAATTACAAGTGTATTTTCAAAATTAAAAACGAAAACTAAGAATCGCACTGAAACTTATCTCATGCCTGGTTAAATTGCGAAATAACCATCGTAAGCAATTAACCATTATTTTTTAAATATGATCATGCTTTTCTAAAAAAAATAACAGTCATCTAGTTAAATTAACCAATGAAAATTTTAATTTCTCTTATGAATAAATCAATATGCAAATTCGTTCATCAAGCTTTGTGATATTGTTATTAAATATCGTTTATTTTTTGGCGTTCAATACGAATATTAAACGCAATAATTCCACTATCAATCATTCTATTTTTGTTTAAGCATTTATTATTCACTACTATATCTTGCTTGAACACGCTTATATATTCATTCTAGTTGTATATAGAGTGAACTAATTTTTGAATGAATTCTTTAAAAAATACTCTGCACAATCGATAATATCTTAGATAACTTGTTGATTATTTACAAACTATAATAACAATAAACAGACTAGTTATGAAATAATTTTATATAATGTAAATTAAAACGGTACGCATTGGCGAAAAATAGGAGATGTGTTTTCTTTCTTATCATTCTACGATTTACTATCAATATGATAATTGTTCCAATACTAAAGATGATATCATAAAATTGGTACATTTTGATAAAAACTATTAAATTCTCTAAGTAAAGAGGATTATTGTTTTATTATTCAAGCAAATTGAAAAATGGCGACTCGCTTTTATTGTTTATTATGTGGGCGATAAGATTATCTATTTTGAATATTTTACAGTCAATTCTTGTAATGTTCAAGAATTATTGACCTACTTATTAATTATTACAAAATATGATTTGTATATCTTAAAAGTCGCTACGTAATCTTAATTTCTATCGAACTTGAATGATTTACTATTGTTCAAGTTGAGCGGATTGAGGATTTAGGACGAAAGAAAAGATAGACAATTAAAAAAATTAACCAACGGGGACAGCCGGGATTCGAACCCGGGACCTCTCGTAGATTAGCGAATGAATTCCCTAAACGAGAATCATACCCCTAGACCACTGTCCCAACATGAAAGAATCAATAAAACTTGACTACGTCTACGTGACATATAATGGCCAGTAAATTTATTATTTCTCAGAAAGCCAACAAAAGACATTTTAATAAAATTAATCAAATTGAAATGACCTAGATTAGTTTAAAGTAGAAATTATAATTGCTTGTTCATTGATAGCAGCTATTTTAGTATTTAAGATTAAAGCTATTCTCTTTGCTAAGCTGTTTGCTTTTATTCTTCAAGATTAATCTATATTAGATAGCGTTTTCCCCGAAAATCTGACTCTGGAATAGAATTACTTTCCAATAGGAAAAGTACATTCTAATGGATCATATACTGCATTATTAGTAGAAAAAAAAATACAACAACGGGGACAGCCGGGATTCGAACCCGGGACCTCTCGTAAATTAGCGTATTGAACACCCTAAACGAGAATCATACCCCTAGACCACTGTCCCATATACAAAAGACAATTCCATACGCAAGGACATCTTGGCATAATAATTAAATTACCAATTGTTTAAAGAAAATTATTGACCTAATTAACTTTAATTAATTAAATATTTGCATACTTCATAAAAACTAAGATATTTTTTCATTTTAGAGAGAGCTTTATTTTAAAATATACAGTAATATTTATTCTTTATACTTAGGCCTACAGTGAGCGAAAAATTACAAGATTTTTATTTGAAGTTATGTGTTTAATTGATGATTTTTAAAAAAAACCAAAATTGAACAGAGAAGGGACAGTGGTCTAGGGGTATGATTCTCGCTTTGGGAAGTTGTAATATACTAAGCATGCGAGAGGTCCCGGGTTCGAATCCCGGCTGTCCCCAATAATTTTTCTTCAAATACTTCTTTTCATATCCGATATTCCTTTTAAAGAGCGTAAATCTTCCATAATTCCAAAAGCTAATATTTCATTTTTCCACGTTTCATAATATAATAGATTTAGAAGGGATGATATATTAAAAATGATTGTATTTTTCAAAGGATAAAGAACGAGATTCTTTATATCAGTTTCAAGGTACTTGAAAGCATTTAATTTAATATTTTTTCTAAGAATATAACGAATTTTCATTATTGAAAAATACCATAAAGATGGTGGCCACACTTTAAATACTTCTTTAGTTATGTAATTTTTAATAATTAATTTATACGATGTCCTATTAAATTTTTTTAGAAATTGATTTATAAGATAAAATCCATCTTCTCTTATTATTAAACTCTCCGAGAAATATCTATAGGATTCAATGAATATAGCATTAAAGTTACCGTCACGTTTTAAAACGTCAATTAAACACATATTTGTTAATTCAATAGGAAAATTAAATTGTTTTAAACAATGGATATTCAATTTATTTAAAACAGATAATTCGTGGATTACTGCCGGATTATCAAAATCGAGAAAAATATCAGTAAATACTCTTATAACGATTTTCTCCCAGGAACAAGGTCTCTTAATATGTAATGGTATGTATCTCTTCCTTTCGCAATTACAATACTTTTCATGATCTTCAAAATCAGGATCATCCGATGATTGGATTATAGTATATAGAGCATCATTGGGATAATTATTATTATTTAAGAGTGTTAGAACGTGGAGAGGAGTGACTAAATTATGGAATATCTTCCCATCCCAATAATACCTTGAGAATATTACAAACTTATCCCATTTATAGAAAAAGCTATCTTCCAACTCCAGCATATATTCCATTCTTTTATGATGTTG